CACTGCTTTCCCAAACAAAAACAAGGGAGAAGGAAACACAAAATTACTTTTGTGGTAAAATAGGCACTCGTTCTTTATGACCCTCCCAATAGTGAGAGTTTACATATGCAGTGTAATATTTTAAAATGCCTGCACCTTCATCTCAGAACACAGAAACTCTTTCTTGCCATTTGAAATTGCATGCACGTGTAAGCCTGGACAGGTCCTCACCTGAAATTTATACTATTTTAAAATAACTAGAGATTTTGGAATTTTGTGAGCTCTTTGTGTGTAAGTCTAGTACACCACAGTATGTGGGTTTGCCAGTTTGCCTACCCGATCTGCCCGTAAGGCGCCATGGCCCCTTAGGTAGGCAAACCCGCAACACTGAGACCGGTCATTGTTGCAAAACCACTGCGTTCGGTAGTATGCGCGTCGGAACAAAACACAAACAACAGCTTTCACAAAAACCTAAGAGATGGCAGCACGCTAGCCTGTTTGCTTCCACCGAGACGAGACTTAGAAAATGAAAACCAGCCAAATTTGCTAAGAGTTCTCAAAATAATACTATTAAACTTGAAAAAAAGTTCATTGAGGAAATTCACACCAACTTTACTAGTTTAAAATCGTCTAACTTTGATGTCTGTAGGTGTTGTGTCATCGGAGATCAAAATGTCCACTAATAAACTGGGTGATGGACTTACAGTAGCACGAAAATCTGCAAAATTTGTTAAGTGTTCTCAAAAAAATACTATTAAACTCAATAAAAAGTTCATAGTTGGTAGCAACACCAGCAGTTCCATGTTCACATTACCCGCCCCGCGAACTCTAACCGTAACATATCTTTAGACATTGACCTAAGAAAAAGTTAACAAACATGAAAAGTAGAGAAATATTGATGTCAACAGACATCTTTCAAATTCTACAATATGAAAGAAATGACAAAACTGAGATAAGGCCATTTGAAGTATACTATTCACAGGGTTAGGTGCAGAGGAAATCAATAGAAGTCCAGCTGAATTTCCTTAACTAACAAAACTTTTTCAAAGTATGTTGTTTGTGGGTCTGAAGTTTAAAAAAGACTGATATTTCTATAACAACTTTTAGTGAATTCAGAAACAAAGATATGTATAAGAAAAAATATACACAACAACTAAGCTTGTGCCGGTGCAAGCAATAAGCCTCACCTGATTATTGTAACTAGTAAAAACAAGATCATAGACAAAATGAGAAGAAATAAAACAAGAGAAAACTGAAGAAAAGCATAAGATAGAGAGAAAAGGCAAAAATAAAAGAGAAAGAAACATCAGCAAGAATACTGAGAGAAATCATACAGACAACAAAGTCAAAGTTACCAGGAAAAAATTATAAGAAAAAGATAACCAATCAAGTTCCTGACCCA